TTATGTATACATATGTGCACATATTTATCTTTTATGTATATATGTATACATATATGTATGTATGTATATATTTATAATGAAATTGAGAGTAGGATTACCTTCGGCTAGTACAGAGTGTAGGCCTAAGAATATTACTGTCTGGGAAAGTCGGTTCTTCTTTTGCTCCTATTCTTCAGGTTCATAATGAGCTCCTCGACTTCGAGATCTTGATCGCTTGTCAGTCGGGATGCTATCATCCCTAATCCTATTTATTACATCTACTCAGTCTATTACAACGTTTTTAGGGCCTAATTCTATTACATTTTTTACTAGTACAGTTATCAGTAATGATAAGGAGCCAACTGTTGGCTCCGATATGGAGCCAACAACCAATGGGACAGCTCCATGTGGGGTTGTTCCACATGACTTGGGACAGCCCCATATCGAGTTGTCCCATTAGTTGTTGACTCCTTAGCATTATTGGTACAGTTTTATGCCCAGGCATTCACTATTGGGCCCAAGACTTTTACATTTCCTAATCAACATTATTAAGTCCACTGAGAAGTGCATATCTGTATTTATTACTAGGCCTGCAATTCATCGCGATTCCCCCAAAATTTTTTACATACACGCTGTAAGAGGAGATCTGGTTCTTTTACCAGTCACCACACACATCGAAATCGTTCACGCTTGATGCTCAAATCGGCTTCAATGGAGAAAACCAACTGAGATTTGGGTTTTAAGGCGTTCGAATCTGAAGAACTGCATTCAGTTTCTGGCTGGAAGAGAAGAGGTACCTCTATCAGTCTGCCGCGACTCGGAGACTCCATCCCACCATTCGGGTCGATTTTGAGCCCGACCGTGAGCCGGCCCGTCAGTTTCGAGGTTGATGGTTTGGCTTTGGCCCTGAAGGATAAGCGGTGGTTCGGCATCCGTGGGGTCGTCGGCACGGCGAGGGCGGCTGCAGCGTGGAGGGAGGTCGGCGATTTGGGATTCGGCTACCCGGTTTGACAGACCGAGTAGAGATGCTCGATATGTTCGAGGTCGATCGTCACGGATTTAGGCCGTTGGTGGTCGCGGATTCGGCTGTTCGGCCCGTCTATGGTAGGGAGATCCGAGCGGGCCGTCTGTGATGTAGGATCCGTGTTCGGCCCGCATATGGTGGTTGGTTTCGACCCGCGGTCGGTTGTAGATTCGGCCCGCGGAGGTGGATGGTTCTGTTCGGCCCACGAACGGTTGTAGGTCCGGCCCACGAACGGTGGTAGGTTCGACCCACGGTTTGTTGTAGATTCGGCCTGCGGAAGCGGATGGTTCTGTTCGGCCCACGAACGGTTGTAGGTCCGGCCCGCGAACGGTGGTAGGTTCGGCCCGCGGATGGTGGTGTAGTTGGGGTTCAACAATGGAGATTCGGTCCGGCTGGGGGGTTGTGACCGAGTTCGGTCATGGAGAGATGNCCCCGGTCGGATTTTGGATGCCCAGGCTGTGGTCTTGAACTGACGAGATCGGATTTCCGCTCCAAGAATACAAAATTTCTCATTTTTCAGTTTGATGTTAATTCGCTCCCAGCATTCAAAAAATTCAAGTCAGAATCACTAATTAATAGTGCATGACTCTTGTTAACTTGCTTGCTTTTTTTCTTTTTCTTCTTTTTTTTCTTCTTCTGCTTATATGCTGTTTGTTTGTAGTGCCCAGTAGCACATAAATTCGCAGACTACATTTACACATTCTTACTCTCTTTTTTTTTAAGCACATCCTTTAGAATGAGATCTTGATGTATATCTATATATACTACATAAGTACATTCATGAAAGCACAAGGTACTGGATGTAGGAAAAAATTATACTAAAAGTACGAATAATCCCACCAGGCTTGGAGAGGTCTCTTCCGGTGGAGATGAAGCCGTTTTCTGGCGAGCTGGCCGTTCTCTAGCGCCAATTATTGATGCTCAAAAATGTCAGCAACATGGGTAAACCGTACACTACTTGGGTACTTTGTTCACAATAATAAACATATGACTTTTGCTATACAAAATCAAGAAAAGCCCAATAAAGAAGATGAAGTTTCATATTTCTTGATATTTTGGGAAAGATCCCTCTTTTTCTCTCTTCCGAAATTTCATTTGGATAAGGTGGTATACCCTCTACAATCATGGTAGCCAAACATATATAGCGGATAAGGTGGTATACCCTCTACAATCATGGTAGCCAAACATATATAGCCTCACATGTGTGACAAGAAATAATCAGGAATAAAATAATACAAATGATATTTTAATATGTTGTATTATTATTTTTATTAATCGTAGTCTAATTGAGTATCACCAGCCAGCTTTCCTGGTTTAGCCAAATTCTTTTGCCATATGTGCACGTGTCGCATTGTTATTGGAGGGCGAGTTCAGATATTAACATACAGGCCCCCAAGCTTAAGCGTCTCATATAGCCGCTGGTCGAAGTTCCTTTGGCGAACGTTGATTAACTGATATGGGTCGGTTAAGGTTGCCTCTGGTCATATGACGCCAGACTCATCCGACATCATCATTATCGTACAGTCTCCTCTCTGCATCATCATGGGTCGCATTAATGAGGGATTATGAAAAGTTGCGCCGGTTAAATAGGGTGTCAGCTTTTCTAATTCTGAGGGGCACGTGTCGTGATATGACTGGACACGCTCGTCGCACTACCGACATGTCTCTTCGATCCTGCGCGTTCGATAAACTCTCTCTTACTTGGTACACTATGATTGATCCCCTCCTGTGTGACACCCCGCCTTACTAGCTTTGAAAAATCAGAGTAAAATTTTTGCTTTTGCTTTCGAAAGGTGGTGCGAGCTTGGTTTTCGAAAAACACTAACTTTTTGCGGGATGACACAGATAAAAACTTACTTATCTTGCTCACAGACATAAATAATACATGCAACAAAACTATCCGCTACGGATATAGAATCATACATGCCATGTCTGAAATGTCTCGCACAGTCTAAGTCTGATAGCGGAAGCATATCCGAAATACAACATACATGCATACATATCTAAATGAATACATGATCATAAAATAAGAACATAAAATGTGCGTAAAAATGTCGTCGCTGTAATGACCATGCTTCGCCACGCATAGCTCATCCGGCACGCTCGACTCCATCTCCTGAAAAACACAATTGGGGCGTGAGCAAACCACTATGCTCCGCAAAGACCAGTACTGAATAAAACAACATGTATAATAACGTGTCATGAACATAAATATATAAGAGCTGGAACTCTAAACTTTTTCTTTTCTTGCTTTACTGTGGTCAAAAGACCCTCGGCCCTCGGCCACTCGTGTGCACACCCCGATGGGATATTAAGGCCCTTGGCCTCCACCGGTACCAGGTGAAGCTCGGAAGGCCCTTAGGTCGGCCCCTCACCTGGGGAACTAACTGTCTCGAACATACCTCTGCCATGGTACAAATATTATATATGATGTTGAATCCAGTACATAACCCCCACCTGATAACTGAAATCTGACGCAAGTGCTGAAACTGGAGTAGCGGTCGGAGGCTCGACTCTCTTTAGACTACATAAACATTTAAGCAAAATAATGCTAAGTATATTGCTCGGAATATTTAATTATATGCTAATATGCTTGAATTTATCTAATCGGTTAGCACTGCCGGGCGTCCCCTAGGTCACTGGGCACTCGGGAGTGCTGCTGGCCACGCACCGAAGCCTACTGGGCTCAACAGACCCGACTTGGGTCGGCACTGGGCATGGCCCGGTGCTGCCAGGTACCATGCATGTTTCCTGGGCACAATGGGTGCTGTTGCCATGCAAACTGGGGCTACTCGGGCTTACTCCACGCGGGGCAGGAGCGGCTGGCTCGAGACCACGTGTGCATGGGCGTGGACAGCGCTACCGGGCACTGTCGGAGGGTGCTGGGCGCTACTGGCGCCGATACTGGGCACACGACACGCACTGGGCGCTGCGGGTGCTGTTGCGTGCACGCGGGCTGTGCGCTGCGCCTCCCGGGTGCGGGCACTGGCTAGGTTAGCCTCTGCAGACACTAGGGCCGGGCACTACCGCACTACCTGTGCGGATAGTGACCAAGGCCGGCCCTTGCCGGACCTCCGGCGACTATTTCCGGTGACATGTATTACATAACACCATAATATGATAAAATAGCCACAAAAATGCTAAGGGTTACTAGTAGACCCCGCGTCTGCATGCATGTGGCTTCGGAGGGCCTATATGGCACATACGAGCTCTAACTCACCGAACCAACTAAAAATTCTTGAACATATGAGCATGGCCGAGTATTCAACATAACAAATGATGACTATAAAGGCTAAGACATGGTTCATAACTTGCGTGCATGGTACTAAGGCTCGGGTGTCCAAATTAACACATTTTCATGAACGATATGGCCGAACAAACAAACTCTAATCATGCTCAACTTTTTACACCATCAATGACATAATACATGAGGGTGATTTAGCTATAAATTTCGACTTAGGCATGTTTGCTACTAAAAATTTATTTTTAAGGCCATTTAATTCAAAAATTCGGAACTTAGGTTTAATCACGTGCATGGCTTGATTTTTCTTCATGAAAAATCCTAAAATATCATAAATAAGCTATGGTTAAGAGATAGGTCGAGCTAACCTTCACCGAAAATCGAAAATGGCTACTAGGGCTTGGAATAGGGCTAGGTGCGGCTTTGAAGGTTTGGCTTGCCTTAGGAGTGAAAAAGGCTGAACTTGAGGAACTCAAAGGACTTATAAAAATCCAAGGAATACTTGGAAGTCGATAAGCCCTGAGAGAATTCGCTTGGAAATGGTTGCGGTGCGATGGTGCTTCCCCCCAGGCTGGCACGCGCGCGCAAGGTGGCAGGTGAGTCCCTCTTGACTTTTCTGATTTTTGCTAAGTATTTGCTCGAGCTTCTAATGTTCCAAGAGCTTAAAATGCACTAGAGGAGAGTCCTTAAATAGGCTGGGGGCGGAGTTAGCTAGGTAAGTCAATGGGGACACAAATTCATGACTTTGCACCCATCCATGCGCATAGAACTTAGGACCAAGCCTTGGGAATGCCTTTGCACGTTTTGGAGAGCATCTTGGTGGAGTTTGAAGAGTATTTTACTGAGAAAAAGCAGGTCTAGTCGGGTCTAGGTCAAGGCATCCAATAATGGGGGACAAGGACAAGCATTCTTGAATATAATAATGGTAAGCACATGCTCCACTTTGCTTAGGCCTTAGTTGACTTTCTCTTAAACTCGCTTAGGGCAACTTAAGCTGGATTAGCTCCTTATTAAGTTAGTTTTCATCCCTCCAATTTGGGCTCAAGACAATTGGGCCAGAGATTGGTGATTTGGGCTTGGAAAGTTGGACCTGTCGCTGCCTGGGCGCGCTGGGCGCTGGGCCTCGGGCGCGGCTTTCTGCNCCTTAGGACTTTATTTATTTCCAAGCATTAGGAGTTCTTTTTAGATTAGGAATAGACTTAGTTTGGCATCTATAAATATGCTCCATTGTCATTCGAAATTATTCATTCAGAAATTAATAGAAAAACCGAACTTTTGTTCAAACACTTTGCCTTAGATATCTTTTCGATTTCTTTTGCAATTTTATCGTTTCAAGGGGTACGGTTGTGCAAACCTCGAGACACCTATCGGCGATTCAAGGCACGAGTTTGTGGCTTATCGGCAATCGGGACACGCGATCTTCATCACTCGGGCTTCCTACTGCTGGGCCTGGCCGAGCTGCTGAGCGCTGGGCTGTGCGGGGCAGGCCTGTTGGGCGCGTGCGGGGCGCGTGGACAGGGCCTGCTGCGCGTGGACTTCGGGTTGGACGCGTGAATGAGGCTCGAACCGATTTTTGAGACTTTTCTTGTGTTCCTATGACTTAGAAAAATATACCAAGTGTTGGTTAAGTTAAGACTTAGGCTTAGTCTTGGACCTCGACTCGAGGCCTTGGGCGGGGTCGCGGCTCGAGTGGCTCGGTTAACTTTTTGGTTTTCCAAACGAGGTCTAGGACTTGAATTCGCACTTCATAATACTTAGAAAACTCTAAGTATTATGCTATTAGGACTCGGCATGTTCTAAGGCTTGATGACTAGGGTTCAGAACGAACGAAACTTAATTTGAATAAAATATCCGAATATTTAATACGAAATTAATATATTGAGCACTTAGCATATACTTAATAAATCTTGAATTTCTGAAAATTACGAATTTCACTTAAAATTCGAGCAGTGAAAATCGTCTTAATATTATTACTGATTCGGGGCGTTACATCCTGCCACTGGGTCGTTTCATCTAGCCATCCAAATGCTTATATATAAGCTATTTCCTTCTTCCTTCTTGCATTTTCACGTTTTCAGCATTTCACGAGATTTCAAAGTTTGGGAGGGGAAGAGTTTATCAAGGAGTATGGCCCATTCAACTTTTCGCGATAACTCGATATTTAATCGGTAAGACCCTCATCTTCGTTTCTACTTTCTTGCAATTTTTCATGTCGTCTTCCACCAAGTCGGTTGATCTTGAACGGGTAAACGAGATTCTTGCGGAGGATATGATGGATCGAATTAGGGTTCCTCTAGAGCAGTAGAGTCCTCAGGCGGACGCGGATATCGAGAAAACAGTCGATCAACTGGACGACAGTTGGCGTAGACCCCCTCGGAGATGGCCGCTCCCCATGTTGTTTAGCGTGGGGACGATTCCATGTTCGGCGAACAATAGTGAGATAGTCGCTAATCACGGAGCGTGGCACATACCGATTAATTGTTCGCTCCTTACAGGAAAGAACATCTACACTTTCCTCCCCCGGGCTGTCTTGCCGTGTGGAAGAAAACGCTACAGTTTAGCCTCTATTTTCCTCTGCCAAGGATGTTGACAGAATATCTCCAAGATTGTGGTCTGGGTTTAACTCAGGTTTCCCCTTTGACCTGGATCAAAATCATAGGTCTGCTTGTACTATTCCATAGGAAGGGTTGGCAATTCCTCACCTGCGAGGAAATTCGTGGCTTGTTTCATTTCAAAAGAACGAGGAAGAAGGCGTGTCTATTCGAATAACTGAGTTCGTCTCGTTGATAACAAAATTTTCGGACTCTCTCCATGATTTCAAAGAAGATTGGTTTTGGGTCGGCGGGAATTGGCAAACTCCGAGATCGGGGGACGACGTTCTCGCTGCTGACCGGCACCACGTCCCTCTTAAATTTGTTGTCGAGTTTCGTAAGTTCTTAAAATTTTTCCTCCATTAGCTTCCAATTCGCGTTTCTGCCCTTCGACTAACAGGTGGGGTTCTACTATTTCAGCGAATTCAACCATGCCCGTTCTGAGTGATACCTTTATTGAACGTCTTCGCGAATTGTTGAAGCTGAAGATGCTGAACGTAGTGGCCCTATTTTGGTTGAGAGTACGAGTTTATAAGAGCCGGTCTTTGTTCAGATTCTCACAGTACTTCATTTACCCCAGGTATCGTATTATTAACGGGGTCTTAGCCCGACTTCTTTGATCTTTCTATTGTTTAAGTTTCTGCTCCTCCCTTTTATTTTTCCAGTGTTCTATCCGTTATACGGATTTTCGGGCCACTTATATGGAAAAACTGTCCAAACGGCCAAACGTTCTGCCAAAAATAAATAGAAGGAGAAAAGAGATTGCTCATGAGGAGATGACGTCCCGAGCTGAGATCATTGCGAAAATGCAGTCATCGGCCGCACAAAGAGAAAAAGAACCTAGCCTTCAAATCGTTGAAACTTCGGCTGCTAAGAGATATTCCACCAGGTCGACTCATCGCAAGAGGCCCGCCAACCCTCTTCCAAATCCGCCTTTGAAAAAAGCGAGCAAGAACACTGCCGAACATGGTGACACTTCAAGTAAGCTTGCCATGGAGTGGGATGGTGGTGAGTTGGGAAAGAGAAGGATGCTCCCGTACATCAGGATGGTTCTCTTACCTATTTGAAGTAGATGACAAGCGAGCCGAAAAGCACAAGCACCTAGACGGACTAGTTGAGGACTGGTTCGTCCGGTTTAAGTCCGTGTTCAATCCGAGAGTCAACAACACACATTTCTGGTCGGACCACGTGATGTAAGTGGCGATGATTCCTTTAATGAGGTGGGATATTTCAGCTGAACATGGAGTCCAGAACTTAAATGCCATAGAGAAGCTTGAATATTCCATTCGACTGATGGGTCGTGCTCTCTGTACACACTCGGCTGCTTTGGCCTCGGCTCGTCAACTGGCCACCACTTATGGAAAAATGAAGACCGAGCATGATGTTTGCGAGGGGGTGATTCAATCCTTGAAGGGTGATGGCGAGGAGAATAAAAGACTGAAGGAGAGGATTGCGTTTCTAGCAGGAGAGGTCGAGGTTTTGAGGAAGGAAGAGGCTTGGCTTCTGGATCAGATTAAAGGGTTCAAGAAATATTAACTGCAGTGCGACCGCTTGAACATCCCCGCCGCTTTAAGAACTGGCGAGCTCTCACTCGACGAAGATGAGGTCACGTTCGACATCAACAGAGGGGCGTCCGTACTTTCAAAATCAGTTATGGATCTCCAGGCAGAGAGCCCATCCCCGCTCAAGTTCATTCCGTTCTAGGTTTCTGGGGAAAATGACGAAGAGGTGGAGGAGAGCCCCGATGTCAACTAGATCGACATCAGTGGCTTGAAGGGCGCAGACCGTGGGAAAGTCGCTTTGGAGGCTCACGAGGACTATAAGGCCAGGACACCTTTAAAGCTTCTGCCGTGCTGATGACGTGCTGATCGTGGCGGGTTGTCAGTTGTTTTGATAAATTCCTTTTGACTGTTGTTTTGTAAATTGACCTTTATTGTCAGGGAGGTTTATTCCGGTTTCGTTCATGAACTTATGTTTTGTTGCCGGGGTGGTTAATCCCCGTTCCCTTTCTGAATTTATGTTATTTTTGAGGTGATTTATCCTCGCATGTTTTCGATTTATGCATGTTATCTGGGATAGCTTATCTTCGTTAATTTTCATATTCTGTGTATTTTCACTTATATGATTTCGTCGGGTAGCATTAGCGCTCGTGTATGAGTTTATTTTGAGCTTTACAATTTCGCCGAACAGTTTTGGTGTTCTGGTATGAGTTCATTTTTATAACTTCTATGGTTTCACCGAACAACTTTTGTGTTCGAGTATGAGTTCGTTTTTAGAACTTCCACAATTTCGCCGAACAGCTCTGGTGTTTGGGAGTGAGCTCATTTTTAGAACTTCTACGATTTCTCTGAACAGCTTTGGTGTTCGGGTATGAGTTCATTTTGAGGGCTTCTACAATTTCGTTGAACAGCTCTGGTGTTCGGGTGCGAGTTCATTTTGAGAACTTCTACGATTTTGCCGAACAGCTCTGGTGTTCGGGCATGAGTTTAACAGTTCGTTGAACACTCAAAAGTTTACTTAGTTCATATATAATACAAAAGCGATACGTAGTTCAAAAGCTTCTCTGATACATCTTAACACAACTGAATTAGTTACTGGTAAAATTTTTTAAGATAAACTACATTCCAGGGGTACTCCAATGAGGTCCCGTCTAGGTGCGATAGCCTATATGCTCAGTTTGGCAAAGTTTTTACCACCCGATACGGACCTTCCCATTTTGCCTTCAACGGCCCCGGGTTCGGTCCGGTGACCGGTTTCAACACCAGATCGCCAGGTCTGTAGGTTCGCGGTTTCACCCAAGAATTTAAGTATCTATCGCTCTCTGTTTGTAAGCTGCATTTTTTTAACTCGGTTTGACGTCTATGTTTGTGTACAAGGTCTTGATTCGCTTTTAGCATTTCCGTATTATTTTCTTCTTGAAAAGCCTTCACCCGATACGTCGGGATGTTCATTTCCACTGGCGCCAAATCTTCCGACCCATATGCCAAAGAGAACGGCGTTTCTCCCGTAGATCTCCTTGTGGTGGTTCGGTACAACCACAACACCGAGGGCTATTCGTCCGGCCAGACTCCTTTGGCCTCCTCAAGCTTCATTTTTAATCCCTGTTAGATGATTTTGTTGACCGCCCCAACTTGCCCGTTAGATTGCGGGTGGTACGGAGTTGAGAAAAAATGCTTCACTCCCAATTCCTCGAAGAACGACTCCAGCCTCTTCCCTTCGGACTGCTTCCCGTTATCCGTGACCATAGAATTAGGGACACCGAATCTGCACAGGATCGACTTCCACATGAAATCGATAACTTTCTGTTCGCTTATTGATGCCAAAGGTTCGGCCTCTGCCCATTTGGTGAAGTAATCCATCGCTACTATGGCGAATTTGACTCCACCATTTCCGGTAGGTAGCGGGCCGATGAGGTCGATGCCCCACTTAGCGAACGACCATGGGCCGAAGATTGATTTCAAGGGTTGAGCGGGTTTCTTATGATTCGGAGCGAATATTTGGCACTTTTCACATCTCCTCGCCAAGTCGGCGGCATCCTTTTTCAAGGATGGCCACTAGTACCTTTGTCGTAGGACTTTGTAAGACAAATATTGTCCTCCCAAGTGGCTCCCGCAAACTCCCTCGTAGATTTCCTTCAGTTCCCGAATGGACTCCTATTCATCCAAACACCTAAGGAGCGGCTGGGTATAACCCCTCTTATATAATACCTCGTTGATGAGGGTAAATCGTGCGGCCCTCGTTTGTAAGGACCTCGCCTCTTTTGGATTGTCCGGGACGGATCCCGTTTCTAGATAGACCCTTATCAGTTCCATCCACCCTCCTACCGCCATCGCGGCGGACACTTTATTATCCGTGGCTCTATAGATCGACACTGATGGTTGCTCTTGTTGTCCTATCATTCCATATTCTAAACTGTCTGCTCCCATGCTAGAGGCTAAGCGAGCGAGGGTGTCTATTTGGGCATTCTCTCCCTTTCAGATGTGTTCGATGTGGGCCTCGAACTGGGACAACTTATCCCGAGTCAGAGTCACATACAGTACAAGCCGAGGCTCCTTTGTTTCAAATTCGTTGGTGATTTGTTTGACCAAAAGCTGTGAGTCCGAATAAATGCTCAATTTCTTCAATCCCATGGACTTGGCCAAAGATAATCCGGATAGCAAGGCCTCATATTCGACCTCATTATTGGTGGCGGCGAATAGACACCGAACCGAATGGCAGTACCGTAGGACTTACTAGAACGACCCATCCCCCGACTCATTTTGCGTTGGACAAGCCATCCACGTAGAACACCCACATCTCCTGTCCGACTGCGAGCTCTAGGGGCAAGGTGAATTCAGCTATGAAATCGGCTAGAGCCTGTCCTTTGATCCAAGTCCTCAGTTTGTAATGAATGTCAAACTGTCCGAGCTCGACTGCCCATTTAATCATCCGGTTGGACACGTAGGGCCTGTGCAGAACCTGCCTTAACGGGTACGCCGTTAGCATGGTAATGGAGTGCTCGTGAAAGTAGGGCCGCAATTTTCTAGCCGCCGTTACTAACGTATAAGACAACTTTTCCATCGGGGAATACCTCAGTTCGGCGTCGTGTACTGACTTGCTTACGTAGTAGATTGGGAATTGTTGAGACTTCTCTTCCCGTATTAGGGCGGCACTCACCGCCGACTCCGAGACCCAATATAGAGATATAGGACTTCGTCGGGGTTTGGCTTCCAGAGTATGGGAGGATGTGCGAGGGCGGCTTTGATGGCCTCGAAGGCTTCCTGGCACCTTGACGTCCACTCGAACTTCTTGTCTCTCTTTATGGCTTCGAAAAAGGGTTTTCACTAGTTGGTCAGTTTGGACACGAAACGACTCAAAGCTGCCAGGCGCCCAGTGAGAATTTGAACGCCTTTCACCGAGCTTGGTGATTTTAGTTCGACAATTGCTCTGATCTTGTCGGGGTTGGCTTCGATCCCCCGCTCGCTGACTACATATCTAAGGAATTTCCCCGAGCTCACTCCGAACGTGCACTTCTTTGGGTTTAACATCATCGAGTATTCGCGCAGAACAGTAAACATCTGATTGAGTTGGGTTACGTGATCGGTTGCAAGTATCGACTTGACCAATATGTCGTTGACATATACCTCCATAGTTTCGCCTATCATGTTGGAAAACATTTTGCTTACCAACCTTTGGTAAGTCGCACCCGCATCTTTCAATCCGAAGGGCATCATTCGGTAGCAATACAGTCCGCGAGCCGAATAAAAAAAAAGTATGTTCCTCGTCATCAGGGTTCATTGGGATTTGATTATAGCCGGAGTATGCGTCCATGAAGCTCATCAGTTCATGCCAGGACGTCGCGTCCACCATGTGATCGATGTACGGTAAGGGGTAACTATCCTTCAGGCAGGCTTTGTTGAGATCGGAAAAATCAATGCACACTGCCATAACCCGTTGGCCTTCTTCACCAAAAATGGGTTCGACACCCAAATGGGGTATCTAAGTTCTCGAATGAATTGGTTGTTGATGAGCTTCACTACTTCTTCCTCCAACGCCTGCTGACGGTCTGGCCTATTTTGCGTCTCTTTTGCACGATCGGCTTGACTATCTTTTCCAAATTGAGTTTGTGACATTCTACTTTCGGGTCGATTCCCACCATGTCTCCGTGTGTCCAGGCGAATACATCTGAGTTCTCCTTTAAAAACATTATGAGATCGGTTCGGACAGGGTCCTTCAGGTTTATGCCGATCATAGGGGCTTTTGGAATTCTGGCGCATCTACATTGATCAATTCTACTTCCTCTCCGAGTTCTGCTTGATCTCCCGATCTTTTTTCTTTGAACTGTTCGTGTGGATCCAATTCGTCTTCGTCTCTCATTGGTTCTTTGCTAGGTCTCCTCCCACGATCCTGATCCAATTCATCTTCGTCTATCTTTGCATCCCTCGATTGGTCTGAGATTGCTCGCATTCCTCGTGGGATCTTCCTTTCTCTATCGCCGGCATTCTTTCTTTCTCTTCTAGTCAAGTTCGGGTAGAGTTGTTCGGATGGATCATTCCCGTCCGCCGCGTGGATTTGCTGGGAAGGCGCGGCAAGGATGCATTCGCGGGCCTCCCTCTGATCACCATAGTGTATGCCGAGCCTTTCAGGAGTAACAAACTTGATGGAATAATGAAATATCGAGACGACTGCCCTAAGCTTGTAAACGTTGTTCTCCCCAGGATTGCGTTGTATTCATTCTCGTGCTTCACAACTTTGAAAGTCTCCAATATCGACTTGCCGGTCGGTCCGTCACCTCTGATTTGGATGGGTAGGGTGATTTTTTCTTCGGGAATAGTTGTCCGTCCATCGTAGCCTTGGATCCAGTCGTTACATGGATGCAGCTCTTTGACGTCCATCCCCATTTTCAGAAACGCCTTCAAGTATAGGATGTTCGCTTAGGCCCCGGTGTCCGCCAGGATGCAGTGGACTGGTATGAAATAGATCGGTGCTATAATGACCAAGGCAGTAGAGTGCGAGTTGTCAAAAGGGGTTGCGCCCTCGTCTGAGAAGGTGACCGGATTGGTCTAGAAGAATGCGGACAATCTAATTTCGGCCTTATTGATCGAGTGTCCGGTACTATACGCTTGTCGGGCGTAGGCTTTCGTTTGTCTCTTTGATGTGACTGGACATTCTTGGCTTGTGTTGATCAGCCGAGCAGGTTAATGTTTTCTCGAACGAGATCTGTGCTCCTCCGAGACGCCGAGAACAGGGGCGTCGTGGTCGTGTCTCCTTTTTCGGGAAGAACTCACATCGTCCCTAAACATTTCACTTAGAGTTTGTAGCGCCCCATTCGTTTATGGAATATTCGAGATTTTTATTTAATATTATTGCTATTAATATTATTATTTTATTTAAATGCCTAATGGTTGTTATTATTTTATTTAAATGCCTAATTGTCTATTAAATGCTAAAATGTGTATTATTAATTAATTAATAATGTGTGCAATATATTTTATAATAATATCCGAATTTTATTTCATTTGTTATTCGTTGTCAATAGTATCGATCGGAATATTCTTATTATCGCGCTGTATTTATTTCGGTCCAATTGGAATTTATTTATACCCGTTGGTGCTAATTAGTTTCAGCCCAATTGATCCTTTGGCCCTTTTGTGCTATTTAATTCAAGCCTAATTGATTAATTAACTCCAAGACCCAACTTTCCATTTAATTTCATATGGCCCAAAATGGAGTTAATATTCTTGGCCCATTGTGCAATAAATCATCCTTGGCCCATTGAAGTTAAGATCCGCATAACTGCTTCCCTTCTCCTCGCGATCGAGTCGTCATCTTCAACGGATCAAAAATCTTGTTGCGATTTCTAAGCGCACGTTCTCCCATTGATCTGTTATATCTGGCCGAAGTTCACTCCTTGGAACATTCAAAAATCCCATCTTCTTCATAGCCGTGATTCTCTAATAAAAAAAAAAAAAAAAAAAGAGAAATTTCAATCTTCTTCTCCGGCGAGTCAGAGTCGCCGTCG